AAAAAAAAAAAAAAATTATATATATATAAAAGAAGAGTCAGGGTAACTTTGACCTAGTGACCTAGTCCCCAATCTGCCCCACCTTTAGGCCAGGCCCCAGCTGGCTTCTGGTCACGTCTCCTCTTCTTCTCCAGGAGTGAGGCCTTCACTTGCAAAAGCCAAATCTGGTCTTATTAGCCAAATCTAGATTAAATCATAAAGTGCTCAACTCCCAGAAGATAGTCTAGAACCAAAAATAAATGACGGCTGAGGGGTCCACCGTTGGCAATTATTCATTCAAATTTCCCCTCCATCATCACTGAGGATAGTAAATGAATTGTCCGTGATGAAAAGACGTCCTCTCCCCAGTGCCATCATCCACAGTGCCTGTATCTGTTACACTGTGCTCTTAGATGACTGCTCTCTGTGCTCTGAAGCTAAACTACTGGTCAGACAAGAGTCAGACTCAGCTGGGCACCTTACGAGTGAAGTGGGTTGGATGGACCAGCTGCTTTGGGGTCTCCCTGCACCTCATCATTGACGTGTTTGGACGATTGCACAGACCTTCTTGTGAGGAGTCATACAAGAATAGTTTGAAGTGTTTGTTTTGTTGTTCTTCGATTTATTACTTAGGTTTTCTCCCTCCCTCCTGCTTCCCTCCCTTACTTTCTTCATCTCTCTATTTTTTAGTGTGAGATTTATTGTGTCCTCTTTGGAACAGCCTTATGAAGTAGCTCCTTCCTACATTTAATAATTGTTTGCTTTCATCTTTTAAACACTGGGAAGCCAGTAAAGATAAAAACCAAAAGTTAAATAAGAAAAGACTCAGGAGCTCTAAATCTAAACCTGACATTTAAAAAAAAAAAAAAAAAAAAAAAAAAAAAAAAAAAAAAAAAAAGAAAAGAAAGAAAGATGGGTTCATTCTATGGCTTCTAAAAATGACCTCAAGTAGGTAAGTAGGGAATGTTTTGAAGCCAAAATATGGAATTACGTGATATAATGAAAAGAATATAGTCTTTGTAGATAGGCAACGCAAGGTGAATCTTTGTTTCTCTACTTCTCGGTAGTGACTTTGGGAAAGTGATAGAACCTGCCAGGGCTTTGGATTTCTCGCCTATAAGTGGGAGTAATGTGCTTACTTCATGGAATTGTGGGGAGTCGTGAGATCACAGAGCTTGGCCCAAAGTTCTCTTCTCCCCTTCTGAGAGACTGAAGTAAGGACAAATTGAACGTGATAAAGCTAGGCTTCCAAGTTATCCTGGTTAAGTGAGCGTCAGCCTGGGGAATTTAGGGTCATGTCTGTGAAGGCTTTCAAGGAAGTAGGCATAAACCTGGAGGACCAGCTGGCGGTGGGCACAGCTCAAGTGTGGCTAGAAAATGTCTGTTAGATTCACTGACCACATGATGAATGGAAACAAGCCAGCTGAGCACTCCCTTTGCAAATCACACATGCAACCCATAACTGGATGCGGTGGGGAATAGAGTAAAGGGAACAATGAGAGCAAAAGCTGGGAAGTCATCCACTCTTCCAGAATATTCATACGTGTTTTTTTAAACACGTAGTCACGGTTCATATTTAATTCTGGAAAAATATTTGTTATGCTCATTAATAAATGTTCCAACTAATTTCACTAAAGAAAAATTCTTCTAGTAGTTTCTAATGCCACAAGCTTACTAGGAAATTACTTCTAAAAATTGATAATACAAATCATCGATGTTTTAACTACTTTAAAAAAGAGGGATATCTGTTTCTTTTACACTTAATAACCTGAAAATGAGTCTATGAAAATATTTTTAAAAAACACAGTAACACTGCTCAGTTTCGTTAGGTCCCTTGTTTTTTGTTTTTCTTAGAAAGAATGTACAACTCTTATTGCTCACAAAAGAAAAGAAGAAATAGTGCTCCCTTCAGTTTAGTAGCAACATAAACATCTACCCCCGTCTCTCTCAGAGCGCTTAGAGAGAGAAGGAACCGGAAGAACATATCTTTTTAAGAATTGCCTGTTTTTTTTGTCTCTCCCACTTTTTAAATGTATAAAACAGCAAGGGCCAAAAATATCCCTCCAAGATTGCAAAGTTGGTCCAAAGAGAGTGATTTTAAAATTGTTAACCTTAGTGAAGGTTCTTATAACTAGTCTCCTCATGCTTTCCATGTCTGAGAAGAAAGGATAACAGAAATTCTTTAAAATAGATTGTGTTTGGCTAAAACTAAAATGTATTATGATGACAACATTTTCATGGGAAATCAATAGAGATGAATGGTTTTAACTGGAGATGAGGAAAAACGACACCCAGCATTTTAGATCAGATAGTTTTTCAGGGTAGATCATTTTTGTAAGCCTCGTTTCCATCTGTTACATTCCAGTGGGTAGTAAAAGTTATTTTGGGTTTTCTGTTCTATTTTGATACTGTTTTTCAATATCAGTAACACTATATTGAGGGCATGTCAAACGTGATTTAATTTTTCAAATTACTGCCTTTTGCAAAGAAAATCCTCTAAAATATTGCCAAGAGTCACTGATACTGTATGAGTTATAGAAGAGCCATTAAGCTTTACTATCACCAAAATGCAAGTTTGATTATGTTTCCCTCATCACTCAGAAAGATGTGATTTTTCTCCTTGGTAAATGCATATGGTTAGAATGAATTTTCTCTGGTTTTGCTCAGAATAGTGAAATTTCTGTGAACCCTTTCCAGAAAGGCTAATGTACTTACAAGACACAAAAGCTAATCTAACAAGTTTCTTACAAATGCTTCTGGGGTGGAAGCTGGCCTTAGTTAGCGATGCCCCTCAGTCTCTGAGGTCTATTTTATTCCTTCAGAATTGATCAGGGCTATTTGAATTAATCAGTTGTTCTGATATTGTGTAAGCAACAGTGACGGAGTTCCCAGGTTTTTCTTTCTCAGCATAATCAGTAGTTATTGTATGTGGGTATTTGTATAAGTTTGTATATATGAGTGATTCCTGGAACCGGACATTATATGGTGCTTTATTCCATTGTGGGAAGAAGATACCTACAGCCCCAATTTCACATGGATACACTGAGATTCAGACAAATTAAGTGTGTCTAAGGTCACACAGCTAAAAAGCTCAGTCCACTGTCACCAAGGTCAGTACATTTTCTCCTAGAGTATTATTCATAAAGAACATGTGTCGTTCGTGTCATATCCCAGGCATCTCATTTTTCTAGAACAACATTTTCTCAATTGTGTTCTGTGGACTCCAATTCCATTAGGATATAAATTCTGCCACAATAGGATTGGATGATTAAATGGGTTTATTAGGTAATAGTGGCCTAAACAAAATAAAACCAGTTTCTTTACAACAAGACTTCTCAGAACCTTAATATGCTCACGTGCAGTGTGACTCACATGCATTGTGAGAAAAGTAGATAGTTGTGGGGTGCCAGGTGTGTGTGTATGTGGAGGATGGGTGATCCGCAGGACTTACTTTATTATTTTTTTATACAACATATTTTAAGAGACAATGGTAAGGTATGCAATAGACTGAGAAAAATACAAGTAATACATGCAGATCATGTCAACCAAACAAATTCCTCAAAATACTGTTATCAACCTTGTGCTTGCTTATATCATGGAACGTAGATCTTCTTGACAAACATTTTTTAAATATGCAAGCAAAGAGAATTGTAAGCTACTATGTAACCAGCAGGAGACAGAGAAAAAGGGTAAGAGAGAATTTATGAAGACAAGAAAACTCAGGACATATAATAATACAAGACAAAATCTAAATGGATATTAGACAGTGATGAAAGATATTATTATTGGGGCACCTGGGTGGCTCAGCTGGTCAAGCATCTGAGTTCAGCTCAGGTCATGACCTGGTGGGTCATGAGTTCGAGCCCCACGTCAGGCTCCATGTTGACAGCTCAGAGCCCGGAGCCTGCTTTGGACTCTGTGTCTCCCTTTCTCTCTGCCCCTACCCAGTACCACCTATGCTCTGTCGCTTTCTCTCTCTCAAAAATAAATAAAACATTAAAAAAAAAAGATATTATTATTGAGGATAAACTTGTTTTTCCTGTTTTAGAAAAAAATAGGGGTGCCTGGGTGGCTCAGTGCGTGAAGTGTCCGATTCTTGGTTTTGGATCAAGTGTCATCTCACAGTTTGTGAGCTTGAGTGCCCTGTTGAGCTCTGCCCTGGCAGCACAGAGCCTGCTTGGGATCTTCCCTCTCCTTCTCTCTTGCAGAACTCACCTTATAAAATACTTTTAAAATGATCCCTAGAGCCATCAATGAAGACAGCTTTTTAATAACATGGTGAAAGGAAACTCCTCAGTACTGTCTTTGAGCATAAAGAGGGATGACGTGGGTAAATATGAGCTTACAATTAAATCCTTAGAATATAGCTCTGCAATAAGGTATTTATTACAGGGAGGGCCTCTCTAGCCTTTCACAAAACAGCTCTTCATGTAGCTCTCATGGGAAGGTGCAGATCACAGGTCAGATCCACAGTGCCTTGCTATCTGCTGGGCTTATCCATCCTGCACACGTCTACCCAGGAGGGAAGGATTCACCCAGCACCTGCATCCCTCTCCCCCGCCCCTTTTTTAATGTTTTTGTTTGTTTGTTTGTTGAGAGAGAGAGAGAGAGAGACAGAGAGACAGAGCACGAGCAGAGAAGGGACAGAGAGACAGAGGGAGACACAGAATCTGAAGCAGGCTCCAGGTTCTGAACTGTCAGCACAGAGCCCGACGTGGGGCTTGAGCCTGCAAACCGCGAGATCACAACCTGAGCCCAAGTCGGACACTCAGCCGGCTGAGCCACCCAGGCACTCTCCATCTGCATATCTTCTGAGCGAGCACCCACAAACTCAGTTTCAGTAACGTGGCAGCTGACAATTTTCAGAGATGAACTGTTTTAGACCGGTAGCAGTATAATCTTCTGTTTGAATGTAAGGACTGTGTTAATGATATGAGAGCTGTCAGCTCTTCAAGAACTTAAAGGAATTAAAATGGTCACCTTTTATTCTGTTATAGGAGAAAACGCAGGACAGACACCTATGAACATCAATCCTCAGCAGACCCGTTTCCCCGATTTTCTTGATTGTCTTCCGGGAACAAACGTTGACCTAGGAACTTTGGAATCTGAAGATCTGATCCCCCTCTTCAATGATGTAGAGTCTGCTCTCAACAAAAGCGAGCCCTTTCTAACCTGGCTGTAATCAGTACCATTGTAACTTGGATGCAGCCGTGACCCGACATTTCCTGGGCCTCTTGGAAAAAGCAATGGAGCAGAGTAAGTCTGCAGGTATACCACTTTCTGCCTCCATGACTCAATGCTCCCTCCCTCCTTTCCATGTGGCCAGTTTAATCATCGCCTGGATTTGACAGTAACTCAAGTGAAACATAAATAAATAAATACTCTATTTTCATTTTCTGCAGGCCCGAATTCCTGTGAATCCGGGACTGTGCAGAATTGTTTTTGCAGAATTGATTACACAGAATTGCTTCTCTGTTTTTCTATCTGCTGCCCCATGACTAAGCTTTAGGGGTGTTAGTTGAAATTTATATGTCAATTGATTATAAGCCACAGAAAGCTGACCACAGGCAGTGACTTGTGACAGGCGGCTCGGTCCAGGAAATGTACATGAAATTAAACCCGATTTACAGTTTCAAAAACTGTACTGATGACAGTAGTACCAAATGCTTTAAAAAATTATTTAACTTGAGCTTTAAAAATCATTGTATTGATAGTAGATCTCTGCTGTATGGAATACAATGTAGTTTTGAATCCATGCTGGTCCTGATGGTTCTTTTACTCTGTATTTGCAAAGGCACACACGGTCTTTTGTACTTTGTCCTTTATCATTACTCTACTGCGTAGCGTCTAGACAACTTGTCCTTCTAGCAGGAGAGGAGCAGGAACGTGAGACCAGTTTGGTACTAATGATGAGCATTTATTAAACAAAACTTTTTTTAAATTACAGGTTGGATTTTTTTTAATTGCAGCTTAGAACTTGATGTTTCTTTTATACAGCACAATCATTTTGTAGCCGACGACAAAGGGCAGCCAAACGTTTTTGATAAACCAGTGGCAACTGTATTTTTGTCTTTTGAAAAGCTGTTCTGAAGACATCAGGACAACATACATAGCTTTCAAACTGATGGCACACACAGGAAACTGTTGCTTTTTAAATTCTGAAGGCTTATCAGTTTTGCTTTCAAGATTTCAAGTGTTTAAATAATCTTATCTATGAAACTGTTTGAAGGATGAAGCAGATCTCTGACTGACGTGTAAAAAAAAAATGCCCTCTGAGGGTGTATGGTGGAGACTTACGTTTCTGAATTCAGTAAAATTGATTCCTAAGTATGTTATCCTAACCCTGTTTGCTACAGTTGGTATAAAAAGGCATGAAATATGTACTCAATACCTCTTATGTAACCAAAAACATTTTTTATTAGCTTTTAAGGACTGAGAGAGAGCATCAGGTTCAGCCGGCACGTACCTCTGCCTGCATTGCTGATGAAGTCCTCGATTGTTTAATATTTTGAACTGACATTATTTATAATCTATGAATTTAATATCTTTTTTGAAAGACATTAATAATTCAGGTCTCTGAGAGGAACCTTCAATTCCCACGGGGGCTTATCTATTGGGGATCTTCCATAAGATCCTTTCCAATCTACCAGAATACAGACAGGCAGAATACATTTTATCTTGTTGGAAAGAAGGCAAGTGAAAAGGTCAGAGATGAAGTAGTAAAGTCACGGTATATAGTGGAAAGGACTAGATGTGAAATGGACATTGACAAGTGATGATACCCCAGAAGCAAGACAAGCAGGAGGTCAGAGAGGTGCCCCGAACGAACAAAGCAACAATTTTCTACTACAACTTTCATACCAGTAGACTCTGTTGTAAGAGAAAAGGCTTTGGTGCACTTTATGTGGAAGAAGGAGGGGAAGGGCTGGTGTTGCCCTGTCCACGATGCTGAGCGTGTCTGTGGACAAGAGCATAACGCCCGCTGTTGCTTCCGACACAATGAAGTGATTTCTTTTTCCCGAAGGACCCATGGTTTATGTTCTTCTGATTCCTTCTCTCTCTAAGCGCTCTGAGAGAGACGGGGGTAGATGTTTATGTTACTACTAAATTGAAGGGAGCACTATTTCTATTTCTCTTTTGTGAGCAGTAAGAGTTGTACATTCTTTCTAAGAAAAACAAAAAACAAGGGACCTAACGAAACTGAGCAGTGTTACTGTATTTTTTAAAAATATTTTTATAGACTCATTTTCAGGTTATTAAGTGTAAAAGAAACAGATACCCTCTTTTTTAAAGTAGTTAAAACATCGATGATTTGTATTATCAATTTTTAGAAGTAATTTCCTAGTAAGCTTGTGGCATTAGAAACTACTAGAAGAATTTTTCTTTAGTGAAATTAGTTGGAACATTTATTAATGAACATAACAAATATTTTTCCAGAATTAAATATGAACCGTGACTACGTGTTTACTTAATAGACAAAGCCAGATGTAATTTTTTGTTTTGTTTTTAAGGCCATAAAATATGGCCTTTGTTAAAGAACACTAAAGCTAGAAATCTAAACGTAAGAACAACTTTTTAAAGGGTATTTCCTATTATTGTAAGTGTTAAAATCCCTGCAGAATTCATGACAAGGTGCTATTTATATTTCTTATTATAAAAGAATGCCAGGATGTCTAGTCTTTTTAGTCCTAAATCAGCAAATTTCAACATTTCATCCAATACCTGTGCCACAGAAAAGGCATATTAACAATTGAAATGGAAAAATAATTTCAGAGATCTTTCTTCCCAGGTATTTTTTTTTCCTGATAAAACACGTTTTCTTGAGGTAAATACATTGTCAAAACCTATTTGCAATTCTACTAAATCTAACTAATTGCTAGTGTTTCCCCATAGTATTCAGGATGTGAAAGGCCATTTCTTTCACTGATTGCCACATCAGGGAGGCAGGTTAAACAGAGTGGGACGTTCAGTGTGTGGGGTGGGTGCTGTTGACCCCAGCGTGGTAGAAAAGCTCTCTGTAGAAGGTGAGAGAAGTGTCGCTAATTATAAGTTGTGTTCTCATGACATCGTTAGACAGTAACTTCTGAAAGTACAACTTTTCTGAAGAAAAAAAAATAAGCTGTTAAAAAAGGAAATTGTAGATTAATTTCACTGGGAAAATAGGCGATTGACAGAGACCATTTCCCTAAAACACTACATCATTTATGTGCTAGTACTTTTAATTTCTTTTTTTTTTAAGAAAATTTACTTCTACATTTTGTAATACGACATATGTGTGTTTATTTTTAATTTAGAATGTGGTGCGTACAGAAGGTATGCAGCCAAATCAATCATATCAAACCATTTTACCTGGAGTTTGGTACTGGTTTTTACTTCTCTGATTCTGTATAAGAAAAATAAATACAACTCAATTTCCACTTGGAGCCTTTGTCTTTTCATTATTTGTGTGCGTTCCTTTTACTCAAGGCTTTGAGTGGTACTGAAGAAAAGCTTATGTAACCCTCCTGGCAGACAATGAAAGAAAAGGAAATTTTGTGGGCCAACATTGTTTTGGCTCAGATGTCTGGTCTTCGATATTCTAAATATCCACAGAATTCTGGTTCCCACTTTATGTGAAGCAATCCACTGAGATTTTTTAGTGTGTATGTAATTTATATGTTATATGTACAATTTATATATACATAAATACATAATTTTTGAAAAAGTACACTGCCCTTCTAACACCCTCACCGATTTGATTGAGATGTCAGAACTATAAGATGCTCAGGTAGCCTGGGTGGCTCAGTCAGTTAGGTGTCTGACCCTCGGTTTCGGCTCAGGTCGCGATCTCACAGTTTGGGAGACTGAGCCCCACCTCGGGCTCGGCCCTGGCAGCACAGAGCCTTCCTGGGATTCTTTCTCTCTCCCTTTCTCTCTCTGCCCCTCCCCTGCTTGCACACGTGGGTGTTCTCTCTCTCTCTCTCTCTCTCTCAAAATGAATAAATAAACATAAAACAAAAAGTTGTCCTCGTGGAGCGAATAGGGGTGGATATTTCAGGAAGAGGGAGAAAAAAAAAAAAGAACTATAAGATTCTCAGTCTTTCCTGTGTTGTTAACAATATAGTGTGGCTTCTTGTTTCAAAACTAAAAACAGCTTATCTGAGTGTGGGCTTGTGACAGTGTATTTTCTCTCTCCATTGAGTCCCTTGATTCTCACTATTGTAATAACTTTGTCCACTCCACAGAAACATTAGGGGACAGCACTCTCAGCAGAAGAATGTTTTCAAGCAGAAACTAACCAGCAGAAAGGAGAGATGGTGGTGGAAACAGCTTACCAACATTCCAGAGTCTTAAGTCTCATACATTCTTTTTTTTAAAATTAAAAAAAAAATTTTTTTTTAATTCCAGGACAATTAATATACGGTGCTGTATTAGTTTCAGGTGTACAATGTAGAGATTCAATAATTTTATACATTACTCAGTGTTCATCACAGTAAGTATACTTTTAGTTTTCTAAAGTTTTTTTATGTTTATTTATTTTTGAAAGAGAGAGACAGAGCATGATAGGGGAGGGGCAGAGAGAGAGAAGGAGACACAGAATCCAAAGCAGGATCCAGGCTCTGAGCTGTCAGCACAGACCCTGACACGAGGCTTGAACCCCTGAACTGTGAGATCATGACCTGAGCTGAAGTCTGACACTCAACCTACTGAGCCACCCAGGCGCCCCACGGTAAGTATACTGTTAATCCCCTTCACCCATTTCACCCATCCCCCCACCCACCTCCCCTCTGGTGACCATCAGTTTGTTCTCTAATAGTTAAGAGTCTGTTGTTTGGTTTGTCTCTTTTTTGGTGTATTAATTTCCACATATAAGTGAAATCATACTGTGTTTGTCTTTTTCTGACTTATGTCACTTAAAATGGCAAGATTTCATTCTTTTTTATGGCTGAGTAATATTCCAATGTGTGTGTGTGTGTGTGTGTGTGTGTGTGTGTGTGTGTGTATCACCTTTTCTTCATCCATTCATCTATGGATGGACACTTGGGCTTCCATATCTTGGCTATTGTAAATAATGCTGCAATAAACATAGGGGTGCAAGTATCTTTTCACATTTGTGTTTTCATATTCTTTGGGTAAATACCCAGTAGTGGAACTACTGGATCATAAGGTAGTTCTATTTTTAATTTTTTGAGGAACCTCCATAGTGTTTTCCACAGTGGCTGTACCAGTTTGCATTCCCACCAGCAATACACGAAGGTTCCTTTTCTCCACATCGTCACCAACACGTACTGTGTTGTTTTCGCCATTCTAACAGGTGTGAGATGATACTTCATGTGGTTCTGATTTGCATTTCATTGACAACTATTGATGTGGAACATTTTTTCATATGTTTTTGGCCATCTGGATGTCTTCTTTGGAGAAATGTCTGTTCATGTGTTATGCTCATTTAAAGAAATTTTTTTTATAAACTTTTTTTTAAAGTTTATTTATTTATTTTGAGAGAGAGAGAGAGAGAGAGAGAGAGAGAGCAAGCACAACCAGAGGAGGGGCAGAGAGAGAGAAGGAGAGAATCCCAAGCAGGCTCCACACTATCAGCACAGAGCTATAAATGGGGCTTGATCTCACAAAACTGCAAGATCACTACCAAGCTGAAA